CTCAGGTGTCAATTTCACCTGTCGATACCGTGCATGCTGATGACGTAACACAGGCAGTTAATGTTTGTATCAAGTAACGTCCCACTACCCCTTATTTTTCTAAGTTTTTGGTATTTTAATCATTAAAAACGCATTTTAGGGCATATCTCAAAATTTAGTCCCTCGGTCTACATTAGGTAGATGTTTCTTCAAGTGATATTTGTTATTTAAGTAACTGTAATACCTCTAAAGTTTAAATATAAGTCAAAAAGCATTTTTCTAGCATTTCCGACAGTACTTTAGGTCACGGCCAGGTGAATGAATCAGATAATGGGGATGACACCTGTGTTTTCTTGCCAGAATGATCAGTCAGCTGAGCGCTCCACGGGAGGCACGGGCGATATACGGTTAGGTTCGAAACATGACCAATATCCAGTCACTGAATACAGGCTAGTGAGTTTATTCAAATTGCCTCTGGGCGGTGGTGTAGCCTAGTGCGTAAAGCGTTCGCTCGTCATGCCGAAGGCCCGGGTTCCCCACATGGGCACAATGTGTGAAGCCCATTTCTGGTGTCCCCCCGCCGTGATATTGCTGGAATATTGTTAAAAGCGGCGTAAAATCAAACTCACTCACTCAAATTGCCTCTATATAACCCAGCAGGGTAAATAGGTACCTGGTGGGATCAATCATGTGGCTATTCAACTTTCTAGTGCCTTTTGGCAGCCTGGGTTATCAGGGGTAATAAAAGGTAACATGTCAACACCTTGAGCATGTGCCTTGTACCTGGAAAAGGCGTGTTATAGGGCACATTTATTGTTCGAACAAGTGCCTATTATCCCTCTGCATTCTGACGGATCTTGGAAGGTGTATTCTGTCGTTAGTTTACTTTTTCATCATCTTCATCTCCCTAAACACGCTAATGGCATCTTCCGTTTGGTCTACCTACTTTTACCATGCTTTGCGATCTTGTGTTAAGCTGGGCCCCGTCTCGCTTATCGCAATATACGCAATGTGGCGCAAGTTCTGGAGCGCACAGGGAGCTGGGAACCAGCTTAGACCTTGTGTAAGCTAATTATAACAAATTATTTCATTGGCTGATACATAGTATTTACTGCGGACTGAATGAAGCTGATTGGCCAAGAGCTAATACATTGTACATGGGTGCCGTAAACATCGTGTTGTTAGGTTGTAGAGTGTTACGGGCGGACATGAGTTTAATCATGGGTTTAATCAACGGAGCATTGATTAGTGATATTTTTTCTATGAAGGTTCGTTTCTTTAGAAATATGACGTGCCATTGGAGATGCGCTGTAAGAATTTCATGCACCATTTTCGTGTCTGCGTTCACTGCACAACGTGGCTGGACAATTCAGTCCCAATATTGCAAATACGAAGGCTTAGCATCCTCGGCTAGGGGTTGAATAGACAAGTCCATGTCAACCTTGATAGGATGGGGTTCTTTTTTCCCCGCCAGTGCTTCAAATTGATAGGGATTTCTCACACCTGTACTCGAAATTATCCCAAACTTTCGTTCACAAATCACGTTACTCCTAGTCCTAGGGAGTTTTAGGTTTTAGACCATGCATACTAGATCGATATCCATACAGCGGTTGCCTTGTCTTGGGAATCGGGTAGCTTCCTCACCCAGGTTTTGAGGATTATATGGCAATTAATCAAGATACCATGGTGGCCATGTCAGCCCACGAGGGATGCTTGCCCACTCTTCTTTGGACGTCGTTTTTTCAGGCAGTTTTCCGATGCCAATCACGCTCAAGTGATTGTGTTAGACCATTCGGCAGCTATAGAACCATCTCACCTCTTGACTGGAGATAAGAATCTTCCAGAACAATCCAATGAGGAAATTGTTTCAACAATCTCTGGATATTTTTCATTGTTATGATATCGATCCTCCATTTTTGTATGTTGAGGGGAATTCAGATTCAGGGCTATCTCAACGATTTCTAAGCAGATTTCTACTTTATCTTAGTGAAGTTAAGACACTGAAACACAGTGCTATGGTGGGCTACAGATCAGCAATCGCTTCTGTTTGAGATATACATGGACTAGCAGTGGTTCTAACAGCTTGCTCAACAAGCCGTAGATCATTCCAGTTAAGATTTTTTTTTTTTCAGCTCCTAGTCCTACAATCTTCCCCATGTTGGCTTTATGTCTAATTCTGTAGTCTCTCCAGAAGTCTTCCAAACCTATGCAGGAAATTTCATTGACATTTCTTCTCCTTAAAAGGTGGGTTTTCTACTTGTCATTGCTACAGCTTCCAGTTCCAGAATATCAGAATTTTTTGCCATAGACTTTAGTCAATCACCTTTACAGGAGGATATAGCTGGCTGTCATATAGAACTTTACCAGCTTTTTCTTGCCAAGAATCAGGCTTCTGCTAGCGGTCTCTCGACCACAGATAATACCAGATACAAGTATTCCCTACCTCTGCCTCTAGATCAGACAGAACTAGACTCCTATGACCTGTTCGAGCTCTGAGATGGTATATCCAGCATGCTCTCAACATCAGACGTAGTTGCCACTGTCTTTTTATCTCATGCAAGACAATTGTTGATTTGGAGATCTTGATTAAATATTATATTGTCTTGGCTTAGGAAGACAATCACTTTTTTTTACCAGGACTGTGACCCCAACTTAGTGAACAATAGTTTTCCCTGCATGAGACCAGGGCCTGGCTGTCGTCACTTGCAGCTTGGGGGTCCATTTCCATAGATCATATTGATGCTGGATGCCGGTGGAACATATGTAATCCCTACACCAATTTGCTTTTGCGAAACGTCACTCCATCCTTCGAGAGCCTAGACAATGGAACCTCTAGTGGCAGTGCAGCGCCTCTCCTCCACCTGTTTCCCCTTGAGGGGGAAAAAGAAGACGTGGGGTGGGGTGTGTGTGTGTGTGTAGATATATCCAAACTCAGCAGTGGTTCACTGTTTTGGACTGTGAGGGAGGAAACAGGTTAACAGTAAACGGAAGGATGAGGATCTTTGAAGAACCTTATCTACTAATATTCATCACCAGTAAGTGGAATTATTATGTCCGCTGCGGTATATTACTCCAGTTAAATAATCTACGAGAAGACTTGAAATCACTTACCGGAAGTGACATCATCAAACAGGAAGTGACGTCACAGAAACCGGTTAAAATGAGAATCAGTCAAATAGACCATTACAGAACCGGATATGACGTCTTGGACCAGAAGTGAATGTCACAGTCTTCTCCAAACACCAAATATTTCTCCCTCATGAGTATGATCCTTCCCTTTAGGTAATTGAATACTGGAATATCCAGGGAATGATCTAGATAATCTATATATATTACATTTCATCACCTAAGTCATAGTTATCCTAATTGTTATGTCATAGACTATAACGGGATAATTAGTGGTATTGCTGTATTCATCATCTGCATAAACCCACCTTCCTTATGTGTGATTCTGGCAACCATAATCCAGAGGGAATGTTTACGTCTATAATTAGGAACAATTACATGTATTGTTAGTAATTATTAGTAAACTTACCTCTGGATTATGGGATCTAGTGCCCACCCTACCTCCCCACGAGGTGATGCAGAAGATGTCAGTTTTCTTCAGAAAATCATGAGAGGTTTTCAACAACTATGTTGTGATGTCACAGCTAAGGGAGATAACTGCATAACTCTTTTAAGCATACCACTAGGGATAGCTATGACTTAGTTAAAATTTTCATTTCCATTCTGTATGTGTCTGTGAAATCCACAGGAATAAGGCAACCATAATCCAGAGGTAAGTTTACTAATAATTACTAACAATACATGTAATTGTTCCTATTCAACCAGCTAATTCATTCCATGTACAGATGATGCAACACTTTCATCGATGCCCATGGAAGCCACACCTAATACTGACTTTAAGGTATCTTAATGGTACCATTTTTGGTGATTTTGTTTGTGTGAACTCTGTATGTGATTGCTGAAAAAAGTGTTAACCATAATTGTCAAGTTTGAACTCAATCCTCCATTTTGATTGTTAATTAGAGTGAATTAAAGTGTGTGCTTTAAGAAACTGCTATTGGTGTGACATTTCTTTTGTGGTTCAGTATATATATTTTATGACACTAGTAAGTATCACAGAAAAGAAAATAGATCAAAGTTAGTGTTATGTCCCCTAGGGATATGGTCTCAAAGGTTATCATTGTTTAAGAAGCAATAATGTCAATATGTGATTTTATTGACAAAAAGATTTGAACTTAGGATGTATTCTTTGCACCTTGTTTACATTAGTAGTTAGCAGTTGAATATCTCTGAAGAAAAAGCAATATATTTTTAAACTTCCTATCGCATGACTTGCATCTCTCTCTCTCTTACTTCGACACAGTGGATCGACTGAAAACTTTTTCCACAGACCTCCTTGTCCATTCGCCTATATACTCCATGCTGCTCCCCTTACCGGACAGCTTCCTTAGTCCCAGTAGGAGTGTGCAGCACGCTCCACTACCAGCCCATGTGACTTCCCCTGAATGATCATTCTCTTTCTTGTTGCCCCACTGGGTGGACGTATTGTGAAAGTTATTTTTTATCCTTACAAGTTAACATAAGAAATAAATCATGGGTAGTTGACGCCAAGAAGCGTAATTTTTGCGCACAGTGTAAAACAATATTTTCTTCCTCGGATCCCCACTTATCATGTGTGGATTGCATTAGCCTGTGTTCCTGGAGCAAGCACTGTCGGGATTGTTCTCCCTTATCAGAAGACGCCTTTAGAGCATACAATCATGGTTGTTCCAGTCGGCTGGCAGATAGTGCTTGTTATACTTCAACAGAGCTTGGTCCATCACCTAACAAAACCCATCATTCTATATCTTGCCATCGGCTAGGTGATCACCGAACCAATCCAGATCACAGTCCCGATCAAGATCACATCCACGTTCCAGCACACCATTCCGATCTCAGATCACCGAACTGAACGGGTTCACTGAGCCGATTCAGATCACAGTCCAGATCCATATCACCAGAGTGATCCACTTCACCTCAATGAACTGATTCACATCTCCGATCTAGGTTACCACATCGATATAGTTCACCGGATCACAACGCCGAATCAGTTCACCAGGCCAAACGGAATCAATTCACCAATCCCGTTCACCGGCCGAACTGCTTGATATTGCAGAACCAGTTCACCAGACTGAACTGGATCACCTTGCCGAACTAGTTCACCTGGCTGTTCAAGATCACTGAAACATCAGCATTCATTGAACTGTCAGCATTCGAATAAACCATTCCTCGGACCTTGCCTACCAACTCTACTGATTCACTGAACCAGCTCAATTCATCGAATCGCCACTGTTGTCTTGTGCTACTTCCAACACGGTACATCTTCAGAATATTCCTTGAGGTTTGGCGAATCTACCTCTGCAGACGTTTGGACAACAGCCACCTTTAAGATGCAGGAATAGTTATGTTTGATTTGACACACATGATTACTTGATTCACTGACCACACACCAGAAAACGACTGGAAAAACTGCCAACACTCTCTCGTCGCACCTTCCCCGGATCGAGTTGACCTTCATGACTTTAGGCATAACAGCAGCAGTTCTCCTCCCCAAGCAACTCGACAGGCAACTGAACTAATGTTTATATATGTGCATAACCATGGCATGTGCTACACGCAAATTTAAATATGTGTTTTTGGGAAAAGCCACAACTTGTGGTACGAATGGGGTGCAGGGGTTCAAAAAGCATTTTAAAAGCCACTTGCCACAGGGCAAGTGACTTTAAGAAAGTAACTTGTCCTGACTAATTTTCCACTTGCCCTGATTTTATGACATAATTATGATGATGTAATTATGAAAGAAGAAATCAACATGGTATTTGATGTTAATGTTTACTGGACTATTTATTGAAAAGTGATAAATAGCAAAGAAAGAATACTCTACTTTGTTATCATTGCGAAATTTAATAGCTACATTTTGAGCAGATATGAAATTAAATCAAAGTTTATTTGCAGTTTGAAACCATAAGTGGAAATTATCTAGTAGCCCACGGACAAGTAAGATACCATTATTTGATTGCCCGAAATGAAAACTGACTTGTCCCGGGCGTCGGGCGATGGGATTTTTGAACCCCTGGGGTGGCTGAATATTGTGGATACACATGTCAATCAGAAAGGGCCACTTTAACTACTCATACTCAGCTGCAGTATGTGGTACTGGTGTTAAATGTCATTATTGTTTATGTAAAGTCCTTGGGACAGACAGGGTATGTCACCAGTTTATTGTTGAAAAGAAGAAAGATTATCTCAAGTACGTAAACAACTATTCAAATTAAAATGTTAAATGGTTGCACCTTGAAACAATCAATTTGGCATTCGACTTTGCTTTTGGTTAAAAGCAAGGGTCAGTTTTTCCGTTGCACATTGAAACAACTAATTAGACATTTGACATTGCATGTGGATATAAGCCACAATGACTGCTGTATGAGAACTCAAAGCTTTTGCAAAAAGACGTGGGCTGACTGGTTATTCTTGCATGAAAAAAAAAAATTGATTACATTGCTGGATGTTGACTATGTCAAGCCCCCCACTGTACGAGACCTCAAAAGCCAAGCAAGGGTATGCAGGCTAACGGGCTATTCTCGCATGAGAAAAGCCCAATGGATTACAGAGCTGGTTGCCATGGAAGAACCGGAAGAGTTGAGATTTATGCCCAAGCTGTTGGTAAGTATCTGAGAGGTTGGAAGATTTGGTTGTCGATTCTAATATCGATGTAAGCAACATTAAACCCATCATAGCCAGCAAGATCACAAGGAGTTGGATGATTTGAAAAGCATAAAATACCAGTTAACAATCAAAATGTCATTAAACAAGAATAACACGGATGGCAGTACCGAGTATGTTGAGCCTTATTTCAGAAGCAATCAAGAAGTAATAACTAATTCTATTTATTCAACGATTGATACATCGTTACAACGGATACAGGAAACTATGGAACGATGGATTCCTAAAGGTTCTGGGTCGTGGGTAGTATCGATACTTTGGCTTTAGCAAACTATATGCCTTTCAAGGTCAGATTGTAGATAGACATAGACTTGCCTCTGTATTAAAAAACCCAGGGCATCATTAAAGTCAAGAATAGAGATGACAACTGCTCAAGATGGGCATTGAGATCTGCCGTATTTCCTGCAGATTCTAAAATTGCAAACAGGCCTTCGAGCTATCCCACAGACGTTGGTCTTAACTTTGCTGGTGTAGACACTCCAACACCTATTTCACAATTTCAAAGGTTGAAAAACAAAACAATTTGGCCATAAATGTCTTTGGGCCCAATAAGGTTACTATTGTACACAGAATAAGCCCAACTGATGAAAACATAATCAGGATAAATTTGTTCCTGATTGAAAATGATGGCAAATGTCACTATACATGGATAAAAAATTTGAGCAGACTTTTAAGCGACCAAACAAAATATGACGGAACAACCCACTTCTGCAAATGATGTCTGCATGGTTACAGTAAGTTAGATCTTGAATCGCACAAAGAAGACTGCCGAGGTGTTGGACAGACTGCCATTAGGATTGACATGCCTAAAGAGAACGAAAACACACTAAAATGTAATAACCATTCCAAACAAATGCCCATACCATACATCATTTACGCTGTTTTTGAAGCCCTCATAAAAAATATCGAACACGACATGCCTACCACTACCGAACAAAGTTTCACGTACAAAACGCAAGAACAGAAAGTTTTGGTTTTGGTTACGTGGTCGTCCGATACGATGGAAAATCAAATGCTCCCATAATAGACAGAGGCCCCGACGCAGCGGAATGATTTCTCACATGCCTGCAACACGAAGAGAAAATAATAGGAGAAAGCTGAAACACAATTACTCCAATTGAATCATTGTATAGTAACTTAACCGAATCAAATATAACCAATGACGATTACGTGCAAGCCAATGGCTGCTAAACGATATTCAAAGGCCAACAATAAATTTGTGGAAGGTTATGACCCTAGCCAGCCGTCGAAGCACATTCTTTATCTCGACGAAAACAATTTGTATTGATGGGCTATGAGCCAGCCTTTACCCACTGGGGGGATTTGAATGGGCCTCGACCAATATTGATGTGAATAGTATTACGGCGGATTCGAAAAAGTTGACCTGGAATACCCCAGAGAATTACACAAGTTGCACAACATTTATCAGCTCACTCCCGAACAATTAACTGTTGATAAAGATTGGATGTCTGAATATCAGAGAAACTTGTTTAGAAATAATAAATTAGCTAATGTGGAAAAACTCATACCAAACTTGATGGAGAAAACGAAATATATCGTTCACTATCATAACCTGCAGCTGTACTTGTCACTGGGTATGAAACTGAGTTCTAAAGTTTCATCAAAGCACTTGGATGGAGCCATTCATAAGGCTGAAGACAGATTTAAGAAAGTGGGCCACCAGTGATTTTGAGAAAGAGAGAGTACGAAACGAGCGATTATCCCAAAGACCACACCCTACACAGCGTAGTGAATAAAAAAGTGCTTGGAAAGATGAAATACGAGTGTGTTGGTATACCTTTTACAGAATACGTCGGATTAAGGCCTAAAATGTATTCCATACAGAAAGCTGACCGCTCTGAGATAAAAATGGCTGAAGGGGTGAAGAAAAAGCAAACTCGAACAATTCAAACAGGCCCTATGCCATGGTCAAACGGAGTAGACAAAAAAATTAAAAATAAATAAATAAAAAAGTTTGTGTACAGTTTAGATACACACACCAGAATATGTAGCATTAACCAAATATGTGTCAAATTTACATCATTGGATGTCCCACTAGATTTGGCCTGGGTTTGTGTGGGGTGTGGGAGTGGAATTAGGTCGAAAGGGCTTGATATTGGGGGTTGCGGCCAAACTGTCATTATGTATACTACTAAAGATGCACATTGACTTCGGGTTTTTTTCAGCCCTAACATTTTGTACCACTGGCAACTTCAAGTTGTGTTCTTTTGTTATCATAATAATGAAGATGGAAATATTAATGAGCAATGCAGATTTCATCTTTGTTGATCAATGTAAGGATATACATAGTATATTTATACCACTAATTGTGCTTGAGGGTGGTGCAGCAGAGATTGCTACCCAGTCAAGAATTCTGTGATATCATCCGGGTAGTCGCAGGGTCCTGTCCTGGGTAATTGCTCTGGATCAGTGCCCCTTTCAGTTGTAGGTTAGCATCACTACACCCTTTGTTGTCCTGTGGGTCAGCATTTTGTCTTTGAGGACGACAACACTCATTATTATCATCATTGCTCACCTTCAGCGGGGCAGTGGGGTAGCCTAGTGCTTAAAGCGTTGGCTCGTCACGCCGAAGACCCGGGTTCAATTCCCCACATGGGCACAATGTGTTAAGCCCATTTCTGGTGTCCCCCGCCGTGATATTGCTGGAATATTGCTAAAAGCGGCGTAAAACTAAACTCAGTCAGTCACCTTCAGCAGCACAATACTGACAGAATGCCATCATCTCCAAGCAGCCGAAACCTTTGCCCCTTATAACACAGTGAAACGTGCAGCAACGTGCAGCAACGTGCGACCATATTTGCTCAACTTGGCCAAGAGGAACAGGACAGGCACATTTATACACATATGCGAACTTGCATGATGAAAGGTTTTGGTAAACATAATCTGATGAAATGTGAGAATACAAAGGGATTCCCCTGGTTTTCCCTTGCTGGCCTGAAAGGTCGAAACCCAGTTTGTTGGCTGATTTCTGGTACATAAGCTGATTAAAATGGCACTGACTGGATGACAAAATATTGGAGTTTAGTCTACCTTTGTGTGTGCCACTCAAAGAAGCCATGCAGTGATGTCTTCTGCCCATCATCAAGTTTTTTCTCTCTTATAATGATGTTTTTAATTCATGTTTTGTGACAATGCAACTGCCTGCCTTGATATTGTCCTATTCTGTTGTTAAGAACAAACAAGGTTGCTTAGTAACATTTCTTTTTCTAGTCAGTTTACGGTATTGCAATAAACTTATCATATCGCAGCAGGACAATTGGAGTGAATAATTTTACCAAAGAGAGACTTTGATATGGCCCCTTGAAAAGAAAGATTTGAAGTGATTATTAATAAATAAGTGTTACATACTCATGTTCATGTCTCTAAGTCAAACATTCTGGCCTTGCTCACAAAATACTGTGTATTCATGAGGATGCCCATGTTATGGCAAGCAGATGGAGGCTGAGTTTTTTAAATTTACACAAGATTATGAAGAAATCATATGGCCATAAAGATGTGTTTGGGTTATGGCACTGTGTGTTGTCAGTTTATCGCACCTTCTTCACCTGTAGATTTTAGACCGAAAAAAAAACATAATTAAGAAGTCTCTCCTCACTGCGACAATTAGAGCTCTTTATTATGACTACTGCAGTGGGGTATTTTTGTATTGCAGCTTGAATAAATGTTCACCCTTATCTTGAACTCTTTGGAAGGTGTGGAAATAGCATAAAACCTCAGCTTCAGACTATATTCTTCACACTACCTTTAGCAAGTAGACAAGAACCTGAATGGATTCAGAATGAGCACTTTTGGAGTGTAAACTTACAAGAATAAGTGTTCTAATTTAATAGATAAGTTTATTAACAGTCTGTACTAATATTTTAGGTCAAGAACGGTTTACTTCAATGACTCGAGTTTACTACAAAGATGCTCATGCTTGCATCGTGATGTTCGACTTATCTCAGCGAGCAACATTCCAGAGTGCAGTCAAGTGGAAAAAAGATCTGGACACCAAATGTTCCCTCCTAGATGGCTCACCTGTACCCTGCTTGCTCATTGCCAACAAGGTATCTAGTTCCTTTGTATACATACCAGGTAGTTGTACTTAGAAACTCACCAGATTATTGTCTTTCTTGAATGTAAACATTGTCCTCTGCTTGGAATACTATACTATTTCACCTGATATTGTCAAATTCAAAACCAATTGATATCTTTCAATCTCCCTCCAATGAGAATAAAATGCTCCACAACAGTTGATTACAGCTATATGCCACAACTACAACATGCATCACCCTGTCATGCATAATCTCACAATGAATAACTACACTATAACTACTGCATGTTTACTAATAAAAAAAGTAACTGTGCACAACATAAAATCGCATAAAATAAAAGTTATTTGAAAAGTTACATAAATAACCCTATATAAAAATGTAGCACAGCACTTTGCATAAAATTTGATGTTACGCATCACGTGTGGCACGTGCACTTTGCGCACAATGAACCTACTCACCTTTTGCATGCTTTTTGACACCTGAACTTCACACACCTGATATTGAACATTGAAGAACGTTTGATTATTCTCTAAACTCTGAATGTTGTTGAAAACATGTTAATTTCAACCTAAACTGCACATACGTCATGCCATGACTTACAGAAAATCAGCGTCTCCGTGGCAAGGATATGCTGGAGGCACGTCAGCAAGACAGCCATATTTGGCTGACCCACTTTGACTGCTCGGACCATTCCTGGTTTATGTCCAATCAGTTCCAGGACTGTACAGAACCAACTGAGGGAGCACAACCTCCAGACTCCAGTGTGACCAACAGGCACGTCTTGTCTGGTACAGACAGCATCTACTGTAAGGAGACAAGATTGGGATGGTGTTTTGTTCACTGACGAGTCAAGATTTCATCTGGACAGCTGAGATGGCAGAGCAAGGGTATACAGACGGCGAGGTGAACTGTATGCTGATGCGTGCGTTGTTACAGGGGCTGAGATCATTGGGCCTCACGTGCAGCCATTCATTCAAGGACACAGACGTAACTTCACACATCAGCAAGATAATGTCCATCCACATGTCACTCATGTTGTGACAGAATTTCCCGAGACAGCAGAATATTCTGATACTGCCCTGGCCAGCTGTTTCTCTGGACCTGTCCCCTATCGAACACGCTGGGGGAAAATTGAGTGACATTTACGTCAAGATCAAAATCAGCCATTGATGTTAGCTGAATTGGGGCAAGTGTTGGTTCTGACATGGAACAACATTCCCCAAGCTTTCTTCAATCGTTTCGTGACAACTATGCGTCGTCGTTGTCAAGCCTGCATCAACTCTAGTGGTGGACAGACACATGGCACTGAATTTGTGAACTGACTTTTGACACCACATCTCTTCAAGGGTGTGTCACGATGTCAAATCATACAGATTTCGATATTATCCTGTCAACAGTTAAAGATTGATAAAGGCAAACACCAGAAATCGTGTTGTTATGTTTTTGCATTAATAAATGGCATAACATGAAATAATGCACAGTTACTTGATTACAGTAATATATAACAAATGCATCTATGACAGTTATATGTATTGCAACTGCATACAAAACAACTTCATGTATAACAACTGCCTGCATAATAACTTCATGTATGACAACTGCATACATAACAACTTCTTACATAACAACTTCAGGTATAACAGGGGCGGTGGGGTAGCCTAGTGGTTAAAGCGTTGGCTCGTCACGCCGAAGACCCGGGTTCGATTCCCCACATGGGCACAATGTGTTAAGCCCATTTCTGGTGTCCCCCGCCGTGATATTGCTGGAATATTGCTAAAAGCGGCGTAAAACCAAACTCAGTCAGTCAGTCAGTCAGGTATAACAACTGCATACATAACTTCATGTATAACAACTGCATAACAATTTCATGTATAACAACTGCATACATAATACCTTCATACATAACAACTGCATAACAACTTCATGTATAACAACTGCATACATAACACCTTCATGTATAACAACTGCATACATAACAACTGCATAACACCTTCATGTATAACAACTGCATACATAACAACTGCATAACACCTTCATGTATAACAACTGCATACATAACACCTTCATGTATAACAACTACATACATAACAACTGCATAACACCTTCATGTATAACAACTGCATACATAACAACTGCATAACACCTTCATGTATAACAACTGCATACATAACAACTGCATAACACCTTCATGTATAACAACTGCATACATAACTGCATGTATAACAACTACATAACACCTTCATGTATAACAACTGTATACATAACAACTGCATGTATAACAACTGCATAACAACTTCATGTATAACAACTGCATACATAACACCTTCATGTATAACAACTGCATACATAACAACTGCATAACACTTTCATGTATAACAACTGCATACATAACAACTGCATGTATAACAACTGCATAACACCTTCATGTATAACAACTGCATACATAACAACTGCATGTATAACAACTACATAACAACTTCATGTATAACAACTGCATACATAACACCTTCATGTATAACAACTGCATACATAACAACTGCATAACACCTTCATGTATAACAACTGCATACATAACAACTGCATGTATAACAACTACATAACAACTTCATGTATAACAACCACATACATAACAACTGCATAACACCTTCATGTATAACAACTGCATAACACCTTCATGTATAACAACTGCATACATAACAACTTCATGTATAACAACTGCATACATAACAACTGCATAACACCTTCATGTATAACAACTGCATACATAACAACTTCATGTATAACAGCTGCATACATAACAACTTCATGTATAACAACTGCATACATAACAACTGCATAACACCTTCATGTATAACAACTGCATAAATAACAACTGCATGTATAACAACTGCATAACAACTTCATGTATAACAACTGCATACATAACTTCATGTATAACAACTGCATACATAACAACTTCATGTATAACAACTGCATAACACCTTCATGTATAACAACTGCATACATAACACCTTCATGTATAACAACTGCATACATAACAACTGCATAACAACTTCATGTATAACAACTGCATAACAACTTCATGTATAACAACTGCATACATAACACCTTCATGTATAACAACTGCATACATAACAACTGCATAACACCTTCATGTATAACAACTGCATACATAACAACTGCATGTATAACAACTGCATGTATAACAACTGCATACATAACACCTTCATGTATAACAACTGCTTCATGTATAACACCTTCATGTATAACAACTGCATACATAACAACTGCATAACATAATAACAACTTCATTCATAACAACTGCATACATAACAACTGCATACATAACAACTTCATGTATAACAACTGCATGTATAACAACTTCATGTATAACAACTGCATACATAACAACTGCTGCATGTATAACAACTGCATAACAACTTCATGTATAACAACTGCATACATAACAACTGCATACATAACAACTGCATAACACCTTCATGTATAACAACTGCATACATAACAACTGCATAACAATATAACAACTGTATAACAACTGCATACATAACAACTGCAACCTTCATGTATAACAACTGCATACATAACAACATAACATGTATAACAACTGCATACAATATAACAACTGCATACATAACTGCATAACACCTTCATGTATAACAACTGCATACATAACAACTTCATGTATAACAACTGCATACATAACAACTTCATGTATACCGCAACAACTGCATAACAACATAACAACTTCATGTATAACAACTGCATAACATAACACCTTCATGTATAACAAACATGCATAACAACTTCATGTATAACAACTGCATACATAACAACTTCATGTATAACAACTGCATACATAACAACTGCATAACACCTTCATGTATAACAACTGCATACATAACAACTTCATGTATAACAACTGCATACATAACAACTTCATGTATAACAACTGCATACATAACAACTGCATAACAACTTCATGTATAACAACTGCATACATAACAACTTCATGTATAACAACTGCATACATAACAACTTCATGTATAACAACTTCATGTATAACAACTTCATGCATAACAACTTCATGTATAACAACTGCATACAATATGTATAACAACTGCATAACAACTTCATGTATAACAACTGCATATAACAACTTCATGTATAACAACTGCATACATAACAACTTCATGTATAACAACTGCATACATAACAACTTCATGTATAACAACTGCATACATAACAACTTCATGTATAACAACTGCATACATAACAACTTCATGTATAACAACTGCATACATAACAACTTCATAACAACTGCATAACAACTGCATAACAACTTCATGTATAACAACTGCATACATAACAACTTCATGTATAACAACTGCATATATAACAACTGCATACATAACAACTTCATGTATAACAACTGCATACATAACAACTTCATGTATAACAACTGCATACATAACAACTGCATAACAACTTCATGTATAACAACTGCATACATAACTTCATGTATAACAACTGCATACATAACAACTGCATACATAACAACTGCATAACACCTTCATGTATAACAACTGCATACATAACAACTGCATGTATAACAACTACATAACAACTTCATGTATAACAACTGCATACATAACAACTTCATGTATAACAACTGCATACATAACAACTTCATGTATAACAACTGCATACATAACAACTTCATGTATAACAACCATACATAACAACTGCATAACAACATAACAACTTCATGCAACTGCATACATAACAACTGCATAACAACTTCATGTATAACAACTGCATACATAACAACTTCATGTATAACAACTGCATACATAACAACTGCATAACACCTTATAACACTGCATATAACAACTGCATGTATAACAACCATACATAACAACTTCATGTATAACAACTGCATACATAACAACTTCATGTATAACAACTGCTGCATACATAACAACTTCATGTAT